CGAAATCGATACCAACATTGAAAAATGCTCTCGTGGGAGAGACACGTTCTGGAGGAAGCACACCCATGAGCTGTTGGACATGTCTAGCTTTGAAACGATGACATCTCACACAATCTTTAATGACCTTCTTGATCTGTCGTAAACCATTTATGGGCCAGAATCGTAACCTAAGATTACACAATACATTTTGTGGTCCAGCGTGATTGAGGCGTATATGTTCATTTCTGATGATGAGTGTGACAAAGTAATCTTTGGAGGGCAATAATATAGGATGTTTTTGAGAGATCGGTAGAGGTGCTTCATCAAGCCTCCCACCTACACGTAGTATGCCTTCTTTATCCAAAAAAGGTGTTAAAGGCAAAATAGAACAATCATTGGGTAGAGTTTTATTGTGAAAAAGAAGAGCAATTTCCTTTGAGAAGTATTGTGCTTGAATCATTTTCACAATGACCGCTAGAGAAAAATCTAATTCTGCAACAGTGAGTGAACCGATTCGTTTTTCGTTATTGGGCTTACAATTATTAACAAATCTGATACAGTACGCAATTGACCGTTGCATGCGAATGAAATTTGAAAATCGTGAAAAAGTTGTGGAAATATTAAAATTAATATGAACATGGGATAGTACTGATCTTTGTTCTGGTAGAGACAAGGGATTTTCAATTGGTGCGGGTTGATCAAAATCACTACTGATATCTGAAAGAAATTTTGGTCCAGACCACCACATTTCGCAATTAATCAATGATGATGGAGATAAACCTCGTGATATGTGATCAGCAGGATTTTCTAACGAAGCAACATGTCGCCATTTAGCATTTATGGTTAGTTCTTGGATTTCAGAAACTCGGTTTGCGACAAAAATTGTCCATCTAGTAGGAGAATTAGTGATCCAACAGAGAGTTATCTGAGAATCTGTCCAGAGAACGACCTTGGAAATTTTTTGAGTCAGTATGGACAGGATTTTGTGAGTTAATCTGGCCAACAAAAGAGCACCACACAGTTCCAATTTAGGGAGGGAAATAGTTTTCAATGGGGCAACTCTGGATTTGGAACAAATTAATTTCGATAGAACCTTATTCGAATATATAACTCGAATATATAAACAGGCACCATAAGCCAACAGGGATGCATCTGAAAACCCGTGCAACTGTATTTCCTTAGCGTCTCCTTCTGAGAATAACCATCGAGGTACAGATAACTGTGAGAGGATAGGAATATTGTCATGAAAAATGTTCCATTGATCTATTAACATCGGGGGTAACAATTCATCCCATTCTATTTTGCTTACCCAAATCTTTTGCATTAGGATTTTTGCGAGGACTCTTACTGGACCTATCAAACCAAGGGGATCAAACAGAGATGCGATGCAAGATAAAACATTCCTCTTGGTTGGAGGTTGATCTTGAAAGAGAAACTTAGTGGCGATTCTGAAAGTATCAGAATGTGGATTCCATGATATTCCTAAAATCTTGTTCAAATGATCAGAATGGAAATCTAATTCAGGATTAGTTTTCAATCCATCCAAATTTGTGAATTCTGTGGTATTTGAAACCCATTTGTGTAACTCAAAACCTGCAGAACATAAGAGCTCTACGAGTTCATCTCGTAGCCTTAACAAATTTTCCAAGGTGTCTGCACCACCTAAAATGTCATCTACATAACATTGTTCAGAGAGTGCCTGTGAAGCTAGCGGGTGGGTAAAATTTCCATCATTTGCCAACTGAAGAAGTGATCTAGTAGCAAGAAATGGAGCACAATTTGTTCCATATGTGACAGTGCATAATTCAATACATTTAAGAGATTCATTGGGATTATCGCGCCAAAGAATATTTTGCAAATGTCTATGCTCTGGTGTGATCTGAATTTGACGGTACATTTTGATTATATCAGTTGAAAAGCAATACTTGAAAGTTCTGAATCTACAAACGATATCAAATAAATCTGGTTGAACCGTAGGACCTTTGTACATAACATCATTTAAAGAAATACCTGTTGTCGTCTTCATAGAAGCGTCAAATACAACCCTCAGTTTTGTAGTTTGACTTTCTTCCTTAATCACACAGTGGTGTGGTAAGAAATATTTTATTGAGCCATCTTGATTTTCAGCTTTTAGAGGAACTAATTCACCGTGTTTCAAAGATACGTATTCATCAATGAAAGCCTTGTACCTAGATTGTAAAATTGGATCCTTAATGAATCGTTTTTCGAGAGAGATAAACCTTTTTTTAGCCAGTTCATATGAATTCCCCAGATTCAATGAGTAAATGTCAGATTTCAGAGGTAGATACACCTGAAAGTGTCCATTTTCTGTGCGTCGTGTTGTTGAAGAGAATATATTTTCACATATTCGATCTTCCTGAGAAAATATGCGTTTAGTAGATATTTCCTCAAGCTGCCAAAATTTGGGTATCAGCTCATTTATTTCTTGGGTATGTGAAAATAACGTGAGACTTATGTTACAAATCTGTTGGAGTGGTATCGGGCCACCTAAGAGCCATCCTAATTTACTAAAAAGTAAAACTGGTGAATTATTTCCTAATCTTATCAATCCAGGTTCGATCAATTCATAATACAGATCTGCTCCAATCAGGATATCAATTTGACCAGGAATATCAAAATGTTTGTCAGCCATAAACAAATCAGTCGGAATATTTAAACGAGAAATATCTATACGAGTTTGAGGAAGAGGGCAAGTAATTTTTTTGAGAACGGCACACTTAGCCTTTACCTGAAAATGATTTGGCTCCTGAGATTCTATAGTAACATTCACAATTTCATTGACAATTGTAGTGTCTTGAGATATTCCTGAAACCTGTACATGACTTTGCTGAGTTTTAGTCTTCAAACGTTTTGTTATATCTGAAGTAATGAACGTAGTCTGTGATGCAGAATCTAAAAGCGCGCGAGCTGTTATCTTTGTTCCCGAATCGGAAATCAGATTCACTTGAGCTGTGGCTAATAAAATATGATTATTATTATTCTGGTTACTGAAACACCAATTGACAGACGAACGACTGGTTGAAATTGGCGGTTGCGCAAGCGGGTTTGAATCGGCGCTAGCGATATCATTTTCATGAAATGTTTGTTTATTAGAAGAGCTCTCTGTGGAAATTGAATTTGCTTGAAGAGATTGTCTATCATTATTGAGAGTTGGGGTTTCATGTAGCAACGTGTGATGTCTACCTGAACATGACCTACACCTATCTGAGGTACATTGATTCACAGTGTGTTTTGTGCCCAAACAGTTGAAGCACAATTTAGTTTTTGTGACAAAATTTCTTTTCTGTTGTATAGATAGTGAACTGAATTGTGAGCATTTATAGATCGAGTGATTTTTTCCCTTGCAATATATGCATGATTGAACTATCGTTCCCTTGCCTGAGAGTGTCGAGTTGTTTGTTACTGTGTAAGAAGCTTGTGGAAAGCGAGTTTGATTGGGATATTTATTCTGTTTGAATTTATTTTCTGACTGAGAGACAGATTCTAGCGCTGAACAACGCTTATCTAAAAATTCCAAGAATTCTTCCAATGTGGGAACTTTGGCGGAGTCTCTTTCTAATTCATAAGCCTTGTGAGTATGAAAGTTCAGTTTATTTGAGAAAATATAGACTAAAATTAAGTCCCATGAATCTACTGGTACGGACATAGCCTTCAGGGCATTGAAATGTTGTTTAATTTTTGTTATAAATTCTCTCATTGAAGAAGAATTTTCCTTTGATACCTCTACCTCCAAAAGAGATTTTATATGAGAATTAATTATGGCTATTTTGTTATCATATCGTTTTTTCAAGATATCTAATGCGATCGTGTAATTTCCATCAGTAATCGAAAGTTCGTTAATCAAGGAGAGGGGTTCGTTTTTAAGAACAGATTTCAAGTATAAAAACTTTTGGGAATTGGCCAGGTACGAATTTTTGTCAACTAGTGCAAGAAACAAATCATAAAAAGATCTCCAATCATCATATCTGCCCGTGAAAATTGGAATATTCAAATTAGGTAATTTAACCTCTGGGGTGGGAGTACCTTGTGAGCTTCCATGAGAAATACCCTGTGTATGTAACCCATTGGTAGCGGGAATCAAATTTACCTTTTTTTGAATCAGCGTACGAATTTTACTGTGAACAGCAACATAACGCTCTTCTACAGTTTCCCTATCAACAATTTGTGATTCATCTCTGTCTTCAATGTCATCCTGTATCGAACAATAATCATTGAATGCCTTAATTAACATGTTTTCTCTGATAACCAATTCATTACTATTGAAATTTTCCTCGTTTTCATGTTCAGCAACAAAATTTTCAATTCTTGTGATGTTTGCTTTGGAACGTCCTCGTTTTCTGACGAGATCTTCCATGTTACTCGTGTATTCCAAACAATGTGAATGAATGAATGATGATATTTTCGTAAATTAGCAATCTGAAGTGAATTACGAAGGGCTATCAAAAATGACGTTGAGAACTGTCAGTCAAATCAATAGCCAAACTGTTCAAATAGAAATTAGAAACTTCTGACCTCGTGAATCCGCGGGCTCTGAGAGATATTCAGGCGGCAAACTTCTTACTTCCGTCTTCTTCGCAGCAGCTGAGAGGGGTTGAAGTCTGATGTTTTGTCAATAACCTGGGACGAGAGAGCGACTTCTTCCAAGTTGGAACCTTTGCGACCGATGTTTGAGTGCAGGAAATAAGTCTTCCACTGGTTGCCAATCCGGGTCGAAGCGACCATGTAAGGGGTTATTGGGGTGAAGGGTTCGAAGGACCGTATAGAGTTGAGTAGAGTAAACCAGAAGATTCCTTTTCTATTACGTATATTCGACAATTCGTTGTACAAGTTGATTACAGATAAATACTAATCAAAATTGAGATATTTGACAACTTGTCAGAATTGTTAGGGAAACCGTAGATGATTGTTTTTTGGTTGATCATAGACACCTTCGTGTTCATGTTTTTATACAGGGTGATGAAATGTTGGGAAGTTCACAACAGAATATACTTTACTTGCAGGTGTTAGGTTTGAAGTTTTTTCAAGATGATGTGAGAAACTATTTCTCCAACGTTCTTCAAGATTCAATAAGGATGAGGAAGAAGTCTGGAACCTACTCTTCGGACCTCATAGACTCGCTTCTAGAAGCCCAATCAACAGCGAAGAAAGGTAACTCCCTACTCATATTCGAATGTCTCTTCAAGTTTGCATTTGGTGTACTCAAATGAAAATCATTCCTCAACTGAATTTTTTATTTGAACCGATAATTGGCATTTTCATACATGTATTTCGATACTCTTGTAGATTTTATAGAGAAAAAATCGAGAAATCATGTAATTGTCTGGCATCATTGGACAACAACAAGCAGAAAGTTAATAACCACAGAACAAGAGACAGTTTCCGCCACCTCATTATTTCTCCATCAACCTACGCCTATATATAAACAACGAATCATGAATCAACATGAAGATGCGCGAAGAACTCTAACGACCAATAGGCTGGCATTGAAATCGTTTGAGGCACCTGCGCAGTGAAGATTGCATGTCTTTGATCCATATTTTGTAGACATTCCTGCCATCTTAACTCTCATCGTATGTCAGCCATTTTTACATTATTTTTGTTCTTGTGTTTAATAGCGCATAATAAGTATTTTTGCTAGTGTTCTGCTGACTTATTATTGATATTGGAGAAATCGTTCGTATGTCTGCTGTTTCTGTTACTGTTATTGATATTGCATAATATGAATAGAGACGGAAAATGTATTCCAGAAACGAAAAAGTCGATATGTTGTTAATATGCAATTTTTATCAACAGACAAATGAAGAAGAAAAATCATTGATGCAACGATCAACTGTCAAACACATAAAACATTTTGTGTAGGTACACCGCCTACTAAGTGAAATAATTATGAAAAAATAGACTGATAGCCTAGTGGATCATCGTATGAGAGGAACAATCTTAGTTTCATTATTCCAAATGGGAAGATCATGTGATAGATACATGGTGAAAATAAAAGACAGATAGTTTCTGTACGATTAGCTGAATTCGAAAAAATATGTTCCTATCTTAGATTCCCCAATATCATCAGTTATTTTCGGAGGTTTTCATCTTGACTCAAACAAGCTATTGACACCCTGCAGACATTGATCAGAATATCGAAACATTCTGAATAATATCGGTTCACTAATGATATTCGAATTTCAAAGTCTACCAAGTGTGGATATATCATCGAATTAATGTCACAGCCAACTTATTCTTCTCGAATAAAAAGCAATTCGACAGCGAATTGAGAAATAAATGCCACTTTGTGATACATGGTTGGATAAAGGATTCAAGGCAGAAAAGATAGACTGAAGAAATGTACAGGGTGTTTAAAAAAAAAAGTTGGGGTCACTTCCGGTCAAACAGGTGGTTGAAAGAAATTGTATCTAAGTTCGTAAAGTGCGCTACCATTTATTATATACCTCCTGTGAATCAAAAAATTTCATCTCTTCAAATAAAGAAACTACAGGCTGCTACATGTCTTTTGTCACCCGGTATTCAAATATCTTTCACTTTGAAATTTTTGGTTACAGAAAACTCATTACGGAAATTGGAAGATGACGATATTTTAGCTCAGGCAATGATTTTTTTCCTTGGAGGATTCGATACAGTTAGTAAATTACTTGGTTTCCTTTGTTACGAACTGGCAATCAATAAGGAGGTACAGGACAGACTAAGAGAAGATATCCTCGATGTCATCAGAAAAAATGATGGAAAAATAACATACGACGCTACAATGAGGATGGAGTACTTGGACATGGTCATTTCAGGTGGGGTAATGAATTGTTCACAAATCTCATCGCATGTATATTCTGTGTACCCCTGTGTGAATTCCTGTGATCTCAGTGATTATAGCATATAAACTCAGGAGACCAATATGATCTCCTGCACATTTTTTCCAAGTTTCTTTGGCATAAAATATGGTTTGCTTCTGAGGGCCCTACACAGTGTGCTGACGTGAAAATATCTAAGATTATTAAGCTTCGAAATATCACCACCAATTGTACCCTTATTTAACCATAATATGTTTTGGAGCTGTTACTTTGAAACAAAGGACAGCCTTCAATAGTTGGTAGGTAGTGAAACATCAACCATATGACTGAAACAGAGTTCGCCAGACCAGGAATACATTCAGCGAATCGAGAGATTCATCAAAACAATGTTAGACAATGTCAGAAGGAAATCAAACCCTATGGATTTTTTCAATTATTACGGTTTTTTTTTTGTTCCTTGCTAAAGCAGTTGGAAGAAATTGAGAAAAAAAAATAACATTTCGTTTCGAACAGTGAATAAAGCACAAAACTGAATTTTTTTTGTGGTTTAATGGAAACACAAAAAAACGATCGCAGATAGAGTTGTGGCGAAAAATTCCCTCAAATGTTCAACACGCATTCAGAGCGATCGATACGTTGAACTTAATTTATAATCATACTTATTCCAATTTTATGCAACCTTCAAACGTTTGGAAACCTACAATTTGACTCATACGCTGAATTCCTCTTCTCGCCAGCTTTCTAATGAGGGGTCACAAGTCATATGGTTACCCAGTGAACATTTTGATAGGAAGCATTGATGGCCTGATATATTTTCTCCATACCTATAAATGGTCCTATATTCAGGACTGTGTATATCAAATAACTGCGGCCGGCAGCTGGTCTCAGTGTTGGGTCCCCAGCAATCATATTCAGTTTCCCGGCAAAAGGCTAGTACAACATAATCTACACATTAAGTTTTCAATAGCAAGCCTAGCACATATATAAATGATTGGAATGGAACTGTAATGGCAAATTATCGACATTGGTTACATACTATCAAGGTAGGAGTAAGAATTTAAGGGGTACAATGGATCTGGAAGTTGTAGTAACTCTATATTTCATAATTTAACCATCTCGTATCATATCAAACAGACACATACTAGATTTCAAGAAGGGAAATTACAAATGAAACGATATTTCCCTAACCTCTTTCTTCTTCCATGATAAAACTTCCCAGAGTGACTGCCTGCCAGGTAGTTTTTTAATCTAGATCCTATTTGGATATCATTATTCCTTCAGAATGTATTGTGTGTTGCGAGATAGCTCCTCCTGGAATATGAAATTTTCCATCAGTTATCAGTGGCCTTCGTTGATACCAGAATCATTTTTCCATAGGAGTATGAGAAACGAAATACTGTTGCATGAGTTCATAACTTGATCAATATAGTCTGATAACGTGATAATATGTAGAGCTTTTCAATACCCCATATTTTTTGGCACAGTCATTTCTGTAGTCAAGACGTGATTGTTATTCACTTCTATAATAAACAAGATTAGATAACCTAGAATTACTCGTGATAGCAACGACTAAGTTGAACATGATGAACTGCTGAAGAGATAGGACCACTTCAATTATTATGATTGCTAGGTTTATGACGTTATGAGATACCAAACATATGCATTTCATAAGGGAATTTGGAACTCTAGATAGGTAGAATGATACTCACTCAATATTATCATCATTGAATAATCCATCTTCTATAATATCAATCGAGAATACTCCTGCCATCATAAATCACAACCAGGAAAAGTGGGGAGTACGATTATTCGATCAGAGGTAAATAAACAGATGCTATCACTAGACTTTCATATAATGTATGATTCAAATGATCAGCTGATTGTTGATGTAGAAGTTCCTAGAACATCTGACAGGAAGACAAGTAGTAAACAGAACATTAGTGTTCAACTGGTTCTAGACATCCTACTATCACAAGGCCTTCATCGTGACCAATACTCTGGCATTGTCAATTTCCCAGACTTACCTGCACTAGGCCGGACTTCTCTCGCTAGTTCAATGTTTGCTGAGTTCATTCAAAAAAATCATGTTGAGAATGGTATCAGGTACTCCAGGAAAGATATATTCTTGAATCGTTCAAGAGTGTCGGGGATTTAAGGAAAAATATTTACCTAACGAATTCATTCCAGTTGAAGTCTTTCACTATGTTGTTCTGATGTACATTCTGCCTGCCTAAATTTCTATCATATTTATGTACAGCATTCCAGTTGTTGAGAGATTCCGTAGATACAACACACATACAGGCATCTATTCCTAAGCAGACTGTATATGGAATAGTTGAATAAAAATACTTGAACTTGTACTATCTACTGTTGACGTAGGCCCCTTTCCCTCTTTTTATGTCGATAATATTAATCCATTTCGATCGCATCTCATATTTTCTATAACCACATTCAAGCCGCTGATTTCATCCATCATAACCATACTTGTTTTTCAGAATCGTTGAGAAAATGGCCCATCATGGGTGGAATGGACAGAATATGCACTAAATCGTATAAAATAGAGCCAGTCGCCCCAGGCGAGCAACCAGTAATAATCGAAAAAGGAACTCAAATATGGTTTCCGGCTTGGTCTATACACCACGATGCCAAATATTTCCCGAATCCAGAAAAGTTCGATCCAGAAAGGTTTAATGAAGAGAGAAAAGCAGAAATATATCCCTATTCTTACAGTCCTTTTGGTTTTGGGCCTCGTAGCTGCATCGGCCAAAGATTCAGTTTACTGAAATGTAAACTTATAATAGTGCATATCATATCTAACTTTGAATTGGAACCTTGCCAGAAGACGAAGATTCCGTTAGGACTATTCGAGAAAGGTTTTCTAGTCAATCCAGAAGTCGACATCATTTTAAATCTGAAAAAAATCGCCTGAGGACTATCATACTGGAATCATAACCTGATAATAGCTTATTCATGCTTCATGTTATATGAGAAGAAGGAAATTTCCGTTTTCATTGTATCGTTGTGGAAAAGAAAAATCAACGATAGTTGACGAAATATATAAGGGGTGATTATTTTTGTAACATAATGCATTTTTTTATCCTATTCTGCATATTCGAAAAAAGACTCAGCCTGTTCGAATCCACCTCCCCAAATCGCGAGTTTCTTCAAGTTACCAAGGCAACAATATCAACGACTCTGGAAACGTAAATAAGTCTGAATGTCAACGTTACAATTGTCAATCTGGCGTTTTATGTAACATCATTCGAAACAAAGGCGTCTTTCAGCGGGGCAGCTCCTTCTGATTTTCAACAAAACATTGATTCTACTGAATACCTTTCCCAATAAGCACAGTGACGTTGGAAAAACTTTGCTGAATGGTTTGAAACCAATAGTTCAAAAGGGGTATTTCTCAAACGTTGATTTATCGAAAAAATTTCGCACGTTAAAACGTTTCTTTCAACCAAATCACCTACTAGAAATCAACGTATTTTGATAACGTTTTTTCAACTTGAGTATTCACGTGACATAAACGTAATGTTTCGACGTTTCATAATTGTCGATAATAAAGGTACATTCATTGTGTGATTGAAGTTTAGAAATGACGATTCGAACAAGTTGATGAAATAAGATTTCTCAACGTTCACTTCGGATCAATAATTTTGAGTCGTCGAATTATCGGTTCCATATTAATTTCTGTAATTTTTGTGTCCACAATGAATTTATCATCATTTTCATAATTATTGCATTTATTATTATTATAACTCACTAACCTGATATGTGTCCATGTATTTCATTGCCGTTCCACTTCCTCCTTAGTTACGTGCATATGTTCATGTATCCCTATTCTTATTTGTTTGACTACTCGTATTTGTACCTAAACTCTTGGTGTGAGCGTCAGCGAGATGTGAAAGGAAAGAATACACGTTGTCTGATGACGATTATCTAACGTTGTTAAAAAACATATATTACACGCTTCTTTTTTTTACCAACCGTTATCGAATACCTTCAAAGAATCGCTTAAGTAACGTTCATTTCAAGAATTCAATGAATGTTTTGAAAAAACGTCAGTTGACCGTGAGGACTTCGTTAGATTGATGAAAAGTAGTTTTGTATCCATGTTGAACACACGTTTTAAAATGACGGATGATATAGAATATAAATTAACGACAACTCATATCACACGTTGACGAATAACAGTAAAAAAACGTTTTTGAAAAACGTTTTATTCATGTTCTTCTTCCACCCTCGGTCAGGAACTATTGACAGATTCACGCTACAGAAATGTTTATATCGAACGTCTGACTAACGTTTCGGAGAAACGTTTCATGAATGCATAATTTCAACAAATCGTCTGAAAATATAGTTTTCGATACGTTTATAAAACGTTTAAATATAACTTCAAATAATTCAACCACATGTCAAATTTCTCAACCATACACGTCTATCTTACTTATTTTACTTTGATGATACGTTGGAGAAATGCACGTGTGCCCATTGGGGTGAGTTCTAAGTGTTCATTAGACCTCACCAAAAAAAAACATCACATAACCGTGAGCACTTATTCCAAAATGTGGAAGATAGTTTGATAACAACATTAATCACACGTTACTGAGTAATGGCTGAGGAACGTTATTGAAAAGCGTATGCATCACGTTGTCTATGTTACCGACTGTTGAATGATAGTGAAAGATTCACGTTGGGAAAAAGTCAGAGTTAAGAGTTCATTAAACGTTATCAAAAAATGTTACATAACCGTGAGCACTTCCACCAGAATGTGAAAAATAGTTTGATAACAACATTTATCACACGTTGGCAGATAACAATGGAGAAACGTTGTTCGAAAACATATTCAAAACGTTGATTTCTTGACCAGCATTTTTTTCATCGCTCGGAGCGCACGAAAGGGAATCCCTATAATGTTCAAAGAACATCGTGCGTTGAAAGAATGGCGTTGAAAAAACGATCATTCCAAGGGTTTGACAAACCTAATGAACATTTCAAAACTGCTATCAGTTCAACTATGAGTTGAGAAATAGTTCAACAACAAGGTATAATAAACGTTGTCAAATGAAGGCTGGAAATTGTAGTGGAATAACGTTTTCTTCAGGTTTTTTTCCCATTATCACTGAGGAAATGATGAAGGATTCGCGTTGAAAAAACGTTTATTTCAAGAGTTTGTCCAACATTTTGGGAAAACGTTTTATGAATGTAGGAATTCCATGGATCGTTAGGATATATCGTTTTCAATACGTGTATCAAACATGTAGTTTCAACGTTATTCACTTCAACCATATATCAACCGCGAATCCTCAACCTGTCTATCCAACCTGATCTACGTTGATCAAACGTTAACAAAACGTACGTGTGCCCATTGGGTCCTGTAACCTCATGACGAAATCATATACCAGGTACGGGTCCATATACATCATCAGAACGTATCGACACAGACCGTCAATTAGTAGGAATTCATTTGACTAGAATAGTAAGAAATCAGAATAGCAAATCATCAGAACCATATTTCAGCGACTGCAATATGTACAACCCGTAATTTGTCGAACCGTACTTTGACAGACTGCATTATGGCAGAATGCATAAATCACAATAGTATATCGATAGACTGCCATATATTCAGAAGTGTACTTTGCCAAACCAGTAAATAAAATACTCTTTATGTCGTCAGAATCATAAAAATATATAATCGTAAAGTCATAGAACCGTAAAAGCACAGACTGTAATTCAGCGACCCGTACTCTGTAGACCACCATTTCATCAGAATGAACATTCCCGACCAGCAAACTGGCAGAATTGTGATGTACAGAATCTAGAAAATGGCAAAATGCGAAAAGTTCATACCCGTAAAAAGACAGACTGTCGATTTTTGATACCCGTAAAATGAAAGATCCGTACAATGACAGACTCGTAAAAGCACAGACTGCCAATACTCTAGATCCGTAAAATGCAAGAACCGTACATCGACAGACTCATAATCCATCGGACTACTGGAATTTTCGATCCATAATTCATTAAAACCGTAAAACGACAGACCCGTAAAACAGCAGAATCGTGAAATAACAGACTCGTACAATGGCAGAATCCTACAGCTACCGGATCCGTAAATTCTCAGAATTTTTTGGATTAAGACCCGTGAAATAGCATAACCGTGAAATGGCAGAACCGTACATCGACAGACCCGTAAAACATCAGAACCGTACATCGACAGACCGTCAATATACCAGAATGTGTGAGACGCCTGGAGACTCGGAACAAGCGGTAGCGCATTGTTGCCAAGTTGAATTGATAGAAATTCCTTGCTATACCTACTCAAATCTGATTCAAACTGTTTTATGAAGAATTCTAGAGGTCTGAGATAGGTTCGTACATTGTAGTATTTGTGTTTGATAATCTGTTCGATCCGAATCAGGAAGATATTGACATGATAATTTGATTGTATCTAGATAAAGAAGTATATATAATTCTTTTTGTTGAAAAATCATATAACAAAACATCAGACATGTGAATATTACGATGTTTTCTATGTACTTATAATAGGTGAATCTATTCCTGGAGATTCTATAAGGCAGAAATGGAATCATTGTATGTCCATTTCTGAACATATATAAATATTGGAGAAAACCATCAAACTTTTAAACTTTTCTATAGTCCAATGGTCTGAGATTCGGATCAGAGTGTATACCTTTCAATTTGATTCTCCAATTAAATAGTAGATAATATAAATAAAGAACTTGTAGCATTTGTATATCGCTATTTCGTTTCGGGAAACCTACTCCCCACGAGTTTTCGAATCTAGTGATTTCTTATTGTCAATTGTGCTCCAATCCCTCACATGACTTCAGTTATAGATTATATACAGGGTGTCCCAAAATTGCTCTACTTGAAGTAGAGGTCAAAATAAGTTGATTGGACCCAATTCGTTTATATACCAAAATGACTTCATTCATCTTCCATGAAATGTCAAATCTCAAGCAATGACGGCTCGAAATACCGCCTGTTGGTTGATCGAGGAGGTGTTACATACATTTTACTTGATTATTTGGGATTTTCTTTCCTCGCTTCTACAAAATAATAATATGAGCATAATTTCAATATACAGTGTCGTCATTTGAGTGTGCAACATATGGGAATCTTCTTAATGAATTGCACAATCAAAATACAGATAGTGCCAAGAGTTGGTGCATGTTCGATCATGATTTCAGGTGCACTCAGAATAGTTGCAAGTCAAACAGCATACAGGGTAGGTAAAAAGATATAAAAAGTGCTCAGGAGTAAAGTACCCGTATTTCAAAAAATTCAGCAGAATGTTATTGAGAAAAGTTGTTCACAATTAAAATTCATACCTAAATACCAAAACATGGCTTCCTAAAACATTCTTCAGTTCTTCAAAACCTTTCGTTAATAAATCCCCATTTTTTTTTCAAATTCGAGCATATTTTTGCATTCAACTTGGATTTTAATTTCTTTAGGAGATCACAAACTTCATGTTTGTTGCAACGATATTCAGCTCAACTTTGAAATTTTGCGAACCCTATTTTCAACAAGGTAAAACATCATTAATGATAATATGCATATTCAAAAAACCTGCATTTAATGTGAACATTTTGTATTTGAAATGTTTATGAAAAAGCTGAACAAATTGATCGACAACCATGATATCTTTTGAAAAATCACGGACACCCAAGGAACAGAACAAATGAGGGTTGACAGTAAATATTGAGGCAGTTTGGTGACATACTCCTCATCTAATGATGTTCTACCTTGTTGAAAATATGGTTTGCGAAATCTCAAAATTAAGCTGTTTATCGTTGCAACAAACATCAAGTTTGTGATTTCCTAAAAAAATAAAATCCAAGTTGATTGCACAAAAGTGCATTAATTTGAACAAAAGTATGATCAACTGATTCTGTTATAATC